TCTAATATTATTATTATGATTATCTTCATCTTTTTCATTGCTATTACTATTGTTATCGTTGTTAGTATTATTATTATTATTGTCATTATCATTATCATTCTTATTCTTATAATAATCATTATCGGTATCATTGTTGTTATCATTAATATTGTTATCGTTATTGTTATTATTATTACTATTGTAATTTTCCTTATCATCACCATCATTATAATTGTTATTATTAATAAGATATTTCTTTTTCTTATCATTATTAGTATTTTTGTTATTGTTATTATCACTGTCATTACTATAATCAATAACATTATTATTGCTATTATCATTATCATCATCATCATTATTACTGTAATTATCATTACTTTTATCATTATCATTTATCATCACTGCTACTATTGCTACGTCATGAATGATAAAAATACTATTATTGATATAATTTTGACTATCATTATTATTACTGTTATCATAGCAATAAGAATTATTACGATTATTATTTTTGTTATCATTGACATTGTTATCTTTATTGTTACTGTTACTGTTTCTATCATTATAATTCTTGTTATCATCATTATCATTTTCATTACTATTATCATAATATAGTATTACTATTATCATCATTATACTACTAGTAGTACCACTACTACTAATGATAATAATAATAATAATAATAATAATAATAATAATAATAATAATAATAATAATAATAATAATAATAATAATAATAATAATAGTAGTAGTAATAATAATAATAATGATCATAATATTATCATTATCATCATTTTCATTATTATCAATAGTATCATTACTATTTTCAGTATTCTTTTTTCATTATTGTTACCATTGTTATTGTTATTTTTAGTTTATTTCTGATCTATTATCATTGTCATTACCACTATCATTGTCAGTATCATCATTATTTCTATTATTGTTATCAATTTTTTCATCATCTTTTATCTGGTTATTATCATTGTTATTATTATTATCATTATCATTATTATATTGTTATCATTATCATCATTGTAGTGATCAATATCGTTATTATCACTGTTGTTATGTTATCATTGTCATTATCGTTATGAAGACTATTATGAATAGTATTGTTATTATTGTTGCTATCATTGTTTTTATCACTATTATAATCATCAACATTATCGTTATCATTGTTGTTATTATCATTTTATCATTATTACTATTACTATAATTCTCATTCTTATTCATATTATTATGATTATAACTATTATTATTATCATTATCATTTTTGATATCGTTATTATTATAATTATTTTTGTTATTGTTTTCCCATATTTTTGGTATTATTATTATTATGATATTTTTTTTTATTTTATCATTATCCTTCTCATTATCATTACTCTTACTGGCATTATCATTTTAATAATTCTTATTATTTCATCAGGATTTCAATTGCTATTCTTGTTATTATTATAATTATTTCTTGCTGTTATTACTGTTATAATGATGATGATGATGATGATGATAATGATATCAATATTGTCATTGCTCTTTTATAATTAATCATTATCAGTGTTTTTATCATCATTAATATTATTATTGTTTTTTTCATTATTATCATTAATATTATTATTGTTTTTTAATTATCATCATTACTATGATTATCATTGATATGGTAATAAGGATGAATATAATGATAATAATAATAATAACAATAATAATAATAATGATAATAATAATAATGATTATTATTATAACTACTATTACTATAATCATTATTATCGTTAGTACTGCTATCATTGTTATTTATTGCCATGATTATCATCATTATTCATATTATTATTATCATAATTTCTGCCATCATTATTGTCATTGTTACTAATATTTATATCAATCTCATCACTACCAGTATCATTACTGTTATTTCTATTATTGTTGTCATCACTGTAATAATTATTATAAAGATCCATTTTGCCTGTTTCATTATTACTACTCTTGATATTATCATTATTATTATTACTACTGCTACTACTCACTATGGTGAGGATAATAATAATAATATTGATGGAAATAATAATGGATTGAAATAATAACAATTATTATTATTGCTATTGTTATTGATTTTATTATCATTACTATATTCATCACTATTATAAGTATCATGACTATCATTATTATTATATTTTTTTCTTATTATCATTATCATCATTATTTTTTACAAATATTAAATCATGGAGATTTGGAAACCTTTGTCTCAATTTTCAATATCATTTCAACATCAGCTAATCATTTCATGATCAGTGATATCATTATCACTACTTCTATTATCGTTATCATTGCTATTACTAATACTACTATTTTTGATATTCTTTTTTCTCTTAATTCTATCATTTTCATAGAGATTGTCGATATCAATTTCACCTTCAAACAGATTAGCGTAATTGCATGGTAGTATTTTCCATCCTTCAGTATTGATTACTGACTCCTACCTACAACATGCAACAACAGCAAGTGACCTTAAATTTCTTCCTTGGTCCTCTCCTCTGGTCTCCCTTCCTTCTCATGTCAGGGATATTAACACTAAATAGTTGTCTGGTTATCGAGTCCATGTAGATTCTATTATTATCATTATTATTATTATTATTTTTATTATTATTATTATTATTATTATTATTATTATTATTATTATTATTTTATCACTATCATTATTATCATTATGAATATTATTACTATCACTTTTGCAGTCATAATGTTAACTGTTATTATTATCATCATCCATGTTACTATAACAACACCATCTATTATTGTTATCATTATTTACCATTATCATTATTATCATTGTCATTATCATAATATAATAATATAATATTAATAATAATAATAATAATAATAATAATAATAATAATAATAATAATAATAATATATTATTATATCATTATGTTATTGTTATTGTTATGTTATTACTATTATTATTGCTATTATTATTATTATTATTATTATTATTATTATTATTATTATTATTATTATTATTATTATCATCATTATCTTATTATTATCATTATTATTATCATCATTATCATCATCATCATTATACCATTAATGTTATTGTCATGATTATTATCATTATCATTACTACTACTACCATTATCATTATTGGTTCTATTATCATCATCATAATCATCATTACTGTTATTACTACTATTGCTGTCATTATCATTATTATATCATTACTATCATTATTGTGACTACTTTATATTATGATAGTAAAGAGAACAACATCAATAATAATCTGAATAACAATAATACTATAATAAATGATAATACTGATGATTATAATTGATGATAACACAAAAGTAATGATAGTAAAATTAATTACAACCAATGGTTGTAATAATGATAACAATGATTTTTTATTGTATCATTAGTTGCTTAGTTTTTTATTATTTATTAAACAGTGAGTATATTACTTTATAAAAAAGAAAAAGAAAAACAGATATGCTTTTTATCCTTATTTATGTTCTCACCATCATCATCAGTATCATTATCATCGTTAATACTATTTTTATTATATTTCTTATGTTCATCTGTATCGTCACTATTGTTGGTTTTATTTATTGTTGTTTCCTGTTGGTGATAATGATTTTGGCTCTTTGGATTTATTACCATTATTACTGAAGTTTATATCAATACGAAAATTATCATTGCTGTAGTAATAATAATGATGATATAGTAACGATAATAGTAATAATAATAATGATATAATATAAATAGTAGTAACGATGGAATATTATGATAATGAGATTAAAGGTGATAATAGTGATAATAATAACACTTGAAATAATAATAATAATAGATATAACAATGATGATAAAATTGATAATGATTATGATACTGTAGTTTTTTATAAGGATAAATAGTATGGTAATGATAATGATAATAATAGTAATAAAAGCCACTGTCATTCCTACTATGACTGTTATTAATATTTCAAAATTTTTTCAACCTACTCTTATTCTATAATTATATTAATTTCATAATTTTCCGCCGTTTTTGCAATTATGTTTTTCAATGCTGTTTTTATTTACGTAAAAATATTCGCCAGTTGAGCGACAATGCATTATAGCGCTGAAGTTATTCGCCGTATGTCGCTATGATAAAGAAAATCCTTTTTTACGCTGATTCTGTTATGTTGAATTATAAAAAGTTTTATCAGGGAAATAAAATAAAGAATTAGATAAAGGCTTGTATATTTACTTATTCATTTTACTTAGAAACTGAAAGAAAGACGGGACTCATCTTTGGGAACGCCGAAGACAGACGCTAATCGGAGTAATGAAATAAAAAGAAAAAAGTAAAAGAAAATGAAGGATTAGTTACATGTGTTTTTGAGTCGATAAATGTTCTTTATTTTCAGTTTTATGTTTGTAATGACATAATCGTTTAATAAGCTTTCCCTGAAAAGTTGATTGTTGTGGTGTATAAATTGAATAATCTACCGAATTATTCAGGATTTGCTTTATTAAATTAAGCTTTCTTTCTTGTTTTATTATTGTTCATGCGATTAGTATTCTGTTTTACTTGTTTGTTGAGACTGAAAAGAATGATATCAGTAAAGTCTAAAAAAAAGAAAAGAAAAATGCTCTCTAACTTATGGTATAATTTAAGAAATAAGTGATTTGCATAATTTTAAGTATATAAGAAAAAAACAACATAAGCGATATCAAATTTACACAAAGAAATAACTAAAGAACCACAGAAATTAATCAAATCATAAATAAACGTGATTTTAGATTTACGTCAGCGAAATCGTTTCACCACAAGCGACTTCTCTCTCCAACTATCCTAACCCCAGTCTTGAAATGAGAAAATCCCATCCCATCCCAACCTTCGCTCTCATCTATATCGGTAAGATCATTCAGAAGACATGATAATCGGAGGAATTGATTATTGAAATGCCTTGTCGATAAAATGACCGTGCTGGTTGAAACGCGGCGAGCAAAACCCGTAGAGTTCACCAGCCCGCGTCATGACCAACGCTAAGGGGACTTGGCGAAATGTCTCTTGTCACTGACCTTATTTCCTGTCCGCTTCCGGTGCTTGTCGTATTTTGCCATGTAGCTGTCAATCAAAATAACAGGTTTAAAAATGGAAAATCCAGTTATTAAGTTTTAAAGCCTGTCCGACAGAGATTGAGAAACTATTTTGACGATTGTTATTGTTATTATTATCATTATTATTATACTATTATTATTATTATTATTATGTTTGTCCTTATCATTATCATTATTATCATTATCATTATTATTAGTACCGTCATCATCAATATTGTCATTATTTTTATTATTATTATGATGACGATTAATTATTATCATTGTTTTTTATTGATATCATTATTATCATCAATTATGGTCATTATTGTTATTAGTATTATAAATTGTTGTTGTTGTTATTATTATTATTATTATTTATTATTATCATCATCATCATCATCATTATCATTATTAGTTATAGTAGATATAATTATCAATATTATTACTATTATTATCATTATTGCTGCCATTATCATTGTTACTGCTATTATCACAGGCATTACTGTTGTTATTATTACCTTCATCATTATTATCAATACTACAATGCCATGAATATGACCATTATCAGAGCTATTATTACTGAAAAATTCTATCTAATAATAGCGTAAGCATACTTTCACATTCTTACTTCAGAATATCATGCCTTCACAATTAGCATCAATTTACCATATACCGAAATAAGTCAGAATATAAAACTGTAACAATAGTTTTCGTATCCCCACGGGTAAATATTACGTTTATGGATAATTTGAAAAATAAATGGTAATAGAAAAAAGAAAGAAAAAATAGATTACAACAAATAACACAAAAATTACAATAACGATAATAATGATGATGATAATACTAGCTGTAGTAATAAAAATAATGATAATGGTAATGATAATGATAATAATAATGATAGTAATAATAATGATAATAATAATGATAATGTTAATAATAGCAATTATGATAAAAATACTTATAATGCTAATAACAGTAATAATAAAAACATTAATGGTAATGATGAATATAATTTTGAGAATAAAGCGTAATGATGAAAATATTAACAATAACAATAAAAGTAGTAATGGTAACAATAATATCTGCTATGAAAATAACACTACTAAATCTAACTGATAATAACAAGAAGAATAGTCTAACTTAGCACTGATAATAACAGTGAAAAGAGCGCAATAACATCGTTACTACTATTGTTATTCGAATTACAATTGTGATTATAAAAAAAAAATCAGAAAATATCAGTTAAAATGATATCATTTTAATATCAGTTGTAATACTGCTAACGATGATAATTATGATAATCACTATGATTATGCAATAAGAAAACCAACAAAAAATATAACGATGATTAATTTATTAAGGTAAAATATAGAAAGAATAATAACCCTTTCAGTTAATACAGAAACTATAATGATGAAAATGACAGTAATTACAAAAACAAACGTTTTAATAGTTAATGTAATGATAAAACGTCTTCAAACAACATAATCTTCACCTTGTAAAAATGTCTCACCACGGGTATTGCAGAGACAGTCACCAATACATATCAATTGTAACAATGTTAACTAAACACTTTATTCATTTATCTTGAACCGTGTCCATGTTGACAAATGTAGAAAAGGTATGAATGAGACTGGATATCTTCACAATACCAGAGATGTATTTGACCGGTTTCGATTACGTCTTCATCAGAAAACGTATTTCTGATGAAGACGTAATCGAAACCGGTCAAATACATCTCTTGTATAGTGATGATAGTCAGTCTCATTCAAACCTTTTCTACATTAATTTAACATGACAAAATTTGTGTGTAGGCACCTTCCAGCGAAAGTAACTTAGGATCCTGGATTTATGTTTCTACTTACTGAGGACTAAGCGCTAACCCCGAATGAGGGCTTGAGGGACATACAAAACGAAGGTGGAAATGAAAAATAACGAAATGTTGATTACAAAACATGGACGTTCTGTGCCTTAAAAAAACAATACACCGTTATAAAGCAGCAAATACGCCAATATGTAACAAACCAAATTAGAAAGTGATTTTGAAAGATGTATTAGATTTAGCGTAAAATGATTTGTTCCACACCGGTATGGCCAACGCGTCTATCAGCGTAGAGACGGAGTTAAAGGAAGGTGGAAGGAATATGCCCCTTTATTATTTCCTTCATCATCGTGTCCGCAGTTCCTCGATTTCTTTGTTTTTTACGTTATCATGTCTGTATTCATATATACCCATCTATAAGTCTATTCGTCTGTAGATATAAATGCACGTACGGCATGAAAGAAAAGTATGGAGGATATAGAGAGAAAGAGAATGAAGGATAGAGTGAGAGAAAAGAGAGAGAGAGGGAAATAAAAGGAGAAAGAAGAGAGGAGGAGAAAGAAGAGAGGAAGAAAGAAAGAAAGAGAGAAAGAGAAAGAGAAAGAAGAAAGAGAAAAGAGAGAGAAAGAGAAAGAAAGAGAGAGAGAAAGAGAAAGAGAAAGAGAAAGAGAAAGAAAAGGAGAAAGAGAAAGAGAAAGAGAAAGAAAAGAGAAGGAGAAAATGGCTGTTTGAACAGAGGAATCGATAAAACTCAAATTATTTCAAAGCTACACAATGCACTCTCTCTCAGACATCATTCCTCACTCTAACTGGAAGTATAAACACGCTATAAATTGTTCTTTATGTAATGTAAGCATGAGATCTTTAATAGATAACAAGACATGAAAGAGAACTCATTTATTTGATTGACATAATATGCCGAATTAGGGCATTGTTCTTGTAAATTGTGTAAAGAAGAAAACGGTGCAAGGAGAATGAAGGGAAAGAAAGAAGGAAGAAACGAATGAAGGAATAATAAAAGAAAGAAAAATAAGCTAAAGGTGAATTCGATAAGCAAACTTAATTTTTTGACTATCATACAAAATCGTCGAAGTAATATCAACAAAGCAGATATAAAAAAAAAAAAGAAAAAGAAAAAGAAAAGAGAGAGAGAAAAAAAAATGACGAAACAGAACATAAAAAACGCCTTAGTAAAAGTCCGTTTGTAAATAAAACAAGAATTAATCAAGAAAAAAAAATCGAAAAAAGTAATATAAACAACCTCCTCCCTCGACTCCCAAACACCAAACAACATAAAAGCGAACTGCGCACTCGTAAAGTACTGGACAAACAAGAAAATCGAAAACGGAGTAACATTCCCCATAATGGCGTCGATCTACAAGGCAAAGATTCCCGCCAAAATGGGTTCCGATCCCACGTTTGCAGGTTCGGAAGCTATCGTATTCATATTTCATTTTTTTTTCTCTACGCACATAAAGGTATCGAAACCTTTTTTCAATAAGCACTAAAACGAAATAAAAAAAGAAAGAAAGCTATTGAAAGAAGCGTTTGTGGCAGAACGACTTGATCAATTATGTATATTAACGGAAATAAACTTGTAAAAGCATCGAGGTAAAAAAAGAGGAAAAAAAAACCTCCTCCCTTTTTTCCCTTTTAAAGAGCTCAAAGGGTAGAGAGAAGCGCCGTGACAGGTGTAAATAAGCAGGTGATTTTTATATCCATTTCCAAACACGAATGCATGATTCATTGATACGCTGTCAGTCATGCAAAGACATTCGCACAGGGTGAATGTCAGGGTGTCGAAATGGCATTGAGGAGGGAGAGAGGGGAGGAGGGGGGGAGGGGAGGAGGGAGAGAGGGGAGGAGGAGAGGGAGGAGGGAAGAGGGGAGAGGGAGGGAGAGAGAGGGAAGAGGGGAGAGAGGGAGAGGGGAGAGGAGAGGGAGACAGGGAAGAGGGGGAGGAGGGGAGAGAGAAGGGGAGGGGAGAGGGAGAGAGGGAGGAGGGAAAGGGGAAGTTGGGAGGAGGGGAGGAGGCGAAAAAGGAGAGGGGAGGAGGGAAAGAGGAGAGGAGGAAAAGAGGGGAGGAAGGGAAAGAAAAGAGGAAGAGAGAGAAAAGATGAAAAAAAAAAGGCAAAGAGATGAATGAAAGAATGAAAGAGGGGAGAAGGGGTGAGGGGAACAGACAACTGGAGGAGAAAGAGGGGAAAAAGGGATATAAGATGAATGGAGGAACTAGCAGAACGAGGAGAACGAGGGAAGTGGGGGAGAAAGGGTAACGGAAGGGAAGAGGGAGGTAAAGGTATGAACAGAGGTAGTAATTCCCTCACTATAAATCATACTGTCATTTAAATCATCATACCTCCGCCATGCTGCCCGTCGTACCGTCATTAATTATTATCGTACGCGCTCTCGTGCAGACCAAAGAGAGGAACGGACGCAGACGAAGAAGGGGAAGAGAGAGAGAGAGAGAGAGAGAGAGAGAGAGAGAGAAGAGGAGAGAGAGAGAGAGAGAGAGAGAGAGAGAGAGAGAGAGAGAGAGAGAGAGAGAGAGAGGGAGAGAGAGAGAGAGAGAGAGAGAGAGAAGAGAGAGAAGAGAGAGAGAGAGAGAGAGAGAGAGAGAGAGAGAGAGAGAGAGAGAGAGAGAGAGAGAGAGAGAGAGAGTTAGAGAGATAGAGAGCAAGGATAATAAGGATAAGAAAATACAACGAATCTATAATGAGAAAAGAGAGATTATACACCACCGAGAAAAAAAAAAAACGAAAAAAAAAAAAAAAAAAAAAAAAAAAAAAGAAAAAAAGAAACAAAAAACAGAATAAAAAAGAACGAAGCAAGAAAGAGAAAGAAAGAGATAACACGCCCCAAATTACATATACCTCCGGTCATGTCATCAACCTACAACTCTCTGACGTCACTCATTGTGTCATGACAGTCATTAGCGTAAACCGACCGAGACAAGAGGCGCTGTTACCATTCATTAAACTACCTACGATTTAATAGCATTTAAGGAGATCATTGAATGGGTGTTTACGTAGTTTAAAAGTAGACTAAACTATGTCATTGATAAACTATTTACGAATTGTTTTGATTGTTTTCAAGGGTATTTTAGAAATGATATTTTCATTGCTTTTTCCATTGTTATTAGTATTATTATAATTGCCAATATCTTTTACTTTCTTTATTATCGTTATCATCGTTATTATCAGAAA